AAATTGTATCTGCACAAACAATGAGGAGTCCTGTGGCACCTTAGGTCCTCTCTATACTAGGAAACTAACTAACCCAGCTCTGCCTTTGAGACTTGAAAACATGATGTGAGCCAAGGATCTTTTCCAAAATTACGAACAATAAGGACTGTTCGTTCTTTCAGTCTCCTTTGGTGCAATCTGTTTCAAATGCTAGGATTTCTGGCTCTCTCAAAACAGCGTAGGAGTGTTGACTATGCATGATTGATCCATGCCATTAATTGTTTTGTTATTTTACAAAGTAAAATCATTTTCAATAGTAAATCTGTTTGCCGAAATCATGGTATGTGCAGCAATAGGATAAATGTATTGGCTGGATTATTAATTACAAATCATTGGCTTAGCTGGACCAGGCGTGTCACTTTAAATAATCATGCATTGAATCTGAGGCCCGGCTCCCCCGAGCACCGAATTGTCTCTCTCGCATATGGAATCATATAACACTGTTCATTAGTCCCATCAGTTCTGTCACATGGACATGATGTTGAGAATACTTCTATCTGATGTGCTACTTTTCTGTGAAAAGGTGTCTGTCCCACATGGCTACAGTTCTGGCTGATAGACATTACTGCCAATTGGAAAGAGACTCCATAGCGAGACAAAGAAAAGCACATTTTTCAGCTGCAATTTTGCGTCCGTGGTATCTTCCCCTCTTTAAGAGATGTCAAGAGAGGTACCACCAATTCTTCTAGTTGGAGGCTTTCAGAAAGGATTTAAAAACCCCTAAAAAAAGGAAATTCTGGTGTGCAGGGTTTCTGGGTTCCAATGGGGCAGGCTGAACTGCAGAAAGAGGAAGGCCAGCCTGGAGGTTAAGAGAGTGGTTTGCCGCTCGTGAAATCTTAGCTCAAAATCTAGTTCTCCCCCAGACTCCATGTGTGATGTGCACATGCAGACTTTCAAAAGTGTTCCCCTCCCGTTCAGAAGAGCTCGACACCCACTGTGCCCAGCTCTTTTGAAAACCTGGCCTCTTTATTTTGGTGTCCGAATGGGAACACTGAGCTATTTGGAAAACCTCCTGGCCCTTAATTTCTTTCTGCGCTTCAGTTCCAGGCCTAACTTGCTGTGTGATGCTGAAATTCTAAGCCACATGCCTGAGTGGCAGCGTACTCCATCTGCCTCCCACTGGGCCCAATCTCTCTCTCTCTCATCTTTCGGGGAGGAGGAAATTTCTCTCCGGAAGCAATGCGGCACTCAGATACAACCCTGGTGTTTTTAGCTGAGCAAGGACAAGCCTCAGTTAGCGCAAAAGACCATTTGAGGGCTCCTACGTGGGGGTCACATGGTACAATCGTAGTAGCACTAGTGAGTGTACAAGTCCCTAGCTCTTAAATATACTCCCTTGAGTGTCCACACTGCCCACCTCCTCAGGTTCCGCCTGGAATGGCTGCTAGTGCTTGGGCATGGGGCTCAAAGGGCGGGTTTCAGGCTGCTGCGTCATAAGACTCCATCACCGTGTTGGTCAGAACCTCTGCGGAGTCGAGGCTCCTTCTTCAGCCTGGTTGTATTGACTGGGCCAAACCCCCGGCCCCAGGTTCTGTCTGTGTTTGGGGAAAGCTCCCTTCAGCAGCTGCATGTGCTCTAACATCTGCCTCCGGCCCAATGCCTGTGGCAGCAGTTTGATCCAGAGCTAGCCAAGAGGGCCACGCGTGCAGCCCACTCACTAGCCTAGGTTGCCCTTCGCTGGTTTAGGGCCTCTTGCAGCAGCATGCTACAGGGAAGAAATAAAAAGAAAATGCAGCAGAAGTTTAAAGTGCCGGCATGACCTGCTGACACACATCACTGGCCAAAAGTCACTTCCACTGGGTCTCCATGACAGCAGGCTGGGTTAGGCATTTCCCTGGCTGGTCACTCAAAGCATGACAAAGCTTCTGCGCCTTCCATTGGGAGACCAGCGAGAGATGCATCAGGGATCGGGCATCAGGTCGGTCGTTTCCAGTCTTACACCCTTCCTGAGCATATCAGAGGGGGGAAACTCCGCGGTGGCCACGTTGAAACGAGCCGTGAAATCCGGAGCTTTCCTTGCAAAACAGCTTCACCCGCCCCAGAGTGAGAATCCTCGGCTCTGTTTCTTGTGTCAGGAAGATGCGAACCTGTGTTGTTCCAGTGAGTGCCTGGCGGGGGTGACATTGTGAGCGGGTGCTGGGATTGTCATGAGGGATACAATTCAGCCTTCCGGAGAGATGTCTAATTACTGTACCTTCCACAGCCCTTCCCTCAAAGAGCCGTGTTTGGCTTCATAGGGTGGGGATAAACTGGGCTGCAGAGCTAGAACAGTGCCCCAAAAAAGAGACTTTGGGAATGGATTTAAAAGTCCTGGTTTCAGGGATTAAATGAAGCTTCGGCTATTAGGGGTGTAACGGGTTGTGGGCTCACCACCGCAGCGCCTCCTGCTGGTCACTTGGGGAATCAGCTCTTCAGCCTCGGCGTGCCTTCTGCTGGCTGGCGTCTCGCCTTCAGTTACTTGTCTCCTGTTCTGGTTTAAGCCCTGTGTCTCTTCTGGCCCTTTCCTGACCGGACCACCCTACAGCAGTACTCCTGCACTCTGGGGTCCTCCGCGTCCCTACGTGCCTCAGTGACTTGCTGCCAGTCCTCATGTGTGCGTCTTATAAGCATAAGAGGCCTCCTTGGAACCCACAGAGTGGAGGGAATCAGACTCTGTATCAAGCCAGCGAGGCAAAGGGCTTCTTTAGATTGCTGGTTTTGAGGCCCAGGAATGCACGGTGCTGGCTGTCCCCCTCCAGAAGCAGACCGTGCGATTCCCAAGAACAGGGCAAGGGGACCCCAAAATGAAGCTGTCACATCAGCTCCTCCACCTTTCTTTCACTTGGGGGCAGTGAGAAGCCTTGAGTCAGTGTAACGTCACCACCCAGGGGTCTGTAAGACCTGGAGCGACAATAGAGGGAAATGCTACTGTCAGGAGTTCTGACAGACGGAAATACTGTCACTCTCAATGCCTGGGGCCTGAAGGTTTATTGATAATAACTGGGATGTGCCATGGGCAGGAGGGATATTAAATGAGTCTGACTGTATCTGGGACTGAATTTTGCAACCCCCGCGGAGCGTGCGGCTCTCTCTGCTTCGCCGAACTCTAGAGGCAGTTTTCCAGCTGCTCCCACGATCTCATTAAGTGCTCTCCTGAGGAGGCCGTCAGCATGTGACAGTGGCCTCCCAGACTGCACGGCAGCACCGGTAACCGCTGCGATCAGAAACCAAGAGCAGCCGATCACCTGACACCTCCTCCCTCTCCCCCTCAGGGTGAACTGACAGGCCACTGCCATCTCCCGACCCAGCCTTCCCCACCCCCAGCTTTCAAAAGCAAAAAGAACATAAGAACAGCCAGACTGGGTCAGACCAAAGGTCCATCTAGCCCAGTGTCCTGTCTGCTGACAGTGGCCAATGCCAGGTATCCCAGAGGGAGTGAACAGAACAAGGAATCATCAAATAATCTATCTCCTGTCACCCATTCTCAGTTTCTGGCAAACAGAGGCTAGGGACACCAGGCCTGCCCATCCTGGCTAATGGCTATTGATGGACCTATCCTCCATGAATGTATTTAGTTCTTTTTTTAACCCTGTCTTAGCCTTCATAACATCTTGTGGCAAGGAGTTCCACAGGTTGGCTGTGCAGTGTGTGAAGAAATACTGCCTTGTGTTTGTTTTAAACCCACTGCCTATTCATTTCATTTGCTGACCCCTAGTTCTTGTGTCAAGAGAAGGCACAAACTGCATTTCTTTATTGATTTTCTCTGCACCACTCATGATTTTATAGACGGCTATCATATCCCCTCCCCCCCCTCTTTCCAGGCTGAAAAGTCCCAGTCTCACTAATCAGATCAACATGCATGGAAACAGTCAGGATAATAGGCCTCCTTGGAGGCAATGAGATACTAGGAACCCATGGGCACCCCAAAGGTATCCTTATCTCTCTCAGCAGTGTTGAGCCTGTGACCGGAGCACCGCGTATGGCCTTTGAGGCTCTAGCTCGCAACTCTGGAGGGTGATGCTCTTTGGAGACCATAAGCCTTTCGAACTGAAAATGTGCTCCCTCAGCTGCCCCCGTGGCAACTTTGAAAAGGAGGTTGTACGGACCGGGCCTGTGGCTGTGGGGAGGCAGTAGAAGGCACCGGCTGCACCAGCCCACCTGCTATGTCAGCCTGGGGAGCAATGTGAACATGAGCTGAGCAGAGAGAGCATACGAGGGTGAAGAATCGGTCCCAATGTTATGTGTGTATGCACACATGGGTGTGTGTGTGTGTGTGTGCACGTGCGTGGTGAGCACATGTCTGTGTGAATGTGTATGTGTGTACATGCATATGAGTATGTGTGTGAGTGTATATGTTTGTGTGTATATGCATATGTGCATACGGGTGTGCACGTGTGTGAGGGTATATGTTTGTGTGTACATGCATATGTGCATACGGGTGTGCACATGTGTGAGGGTATATGTTTGTGTGTACATGCATATGTGTGTGTGCACGTGTGTGTGTGCACCTGCAGGTGTGTAATATTGTGGCAGGATGCTCAGGCCTCGTAATGGAATTTCTTCTCTCCCTGGGCTTGGTGGGTGGCGAGTGGGATGGCGGGCTGACACCTCTGTCACTCAGCGCTCCTCTGGCAGGCGCTTGAGCAGCGAGCAGCTGTCGCTCTGTGCCCTCCGGAGCCCGTGTGATTTATGGGGACTGTCTTTGAAAACACTTTGTAGAATTATTATTCAAAACAACCATTCACATCCAAGCCCAAGTCGGCAAGGGAGCCGCGGGAGAGCAGCAAACCCGTCCTCCCTCATGGTGCACTCTGAATTCAGAGCTAGAGGAGGTGTGTGAAGTTAAAGGGCAGGGCATCCCCCACCTCCTGGCACTGCAGGAGGGCTGCACCTGTTTATATAGCCCAGCGCCACAGAGCTTTGCCTTGGAAATTGGGCTTCTGTGGCTACCTCCCCTGACGATCTCCTTCTCCCCCTCCCAGTCTGCTCGCAGTTCTCCAAGGGCGTCTACGCCATCTTTGGGTTTTACGACCGGAAGACGGTCAACATGCTCACCTCCTTCTGCGGCGCGCTCCACGTCTGCTTCATCACGCCCAGCTTCCCCGTCGACACCTCCAACCAGTTCGTCCTCCAGCTGCGCCCCGAGCTTCAGGACGCCCTCATCAACATCATCGAGCACTACAGCTGGCAGAAGTTTGTCTACATTTACGATGCGGACCGGGGTGAGTGGCGAGGGAAGGGGCAGGGGTGGGCGGAGCATGGCTGTCACTCTTGGGCGGAGCGGGCAACGATTCCCTCAGGAGAGTAGGCCGAGCACAAGCAGTTTGACTAGCAAACAGGGCAACGGTTTGACATTAACGAGCTAATTCCTCAGGATCCTGTTTTCAAGCCGCCCGCCCGACCCAGTGCCTGTGGGAAGCTCACATTTGTGCCCATGGATGGCTGGCACTTAGGGGAAATGCGTGTCAAAGGCCCGTTTCTACACACAAGCCTGGAAGTTGCCAGCACAAATGAGGGACCTTGGAAAACTCTCTGAGCTCCTTGTGTTGAGTGAACACCCATCGCTTACTAAAGAGAATCCTTGATCTTTTAGGAACCAATTATCTGTTACATTGGCTCTCAATAGCCCCTTTTTCCCCCAAACGTGAATAGAGCATATCATTGCTCTGCTGGTAAATAAATGCAGCCTCAAGTGGGATCTGTTGGTTAAAACATGGCGGTTGGGGTCTCTCCCCAGATGTGTCATAAACTCCATGTCTGACCTTGGGAAAGTGCCTAGCCCTCTTGGTCTCAGTTTCCCCATCTCTGAAATGGGTACAAAACCACAAGTGTGTGGTGAGGCCCAGACTAGGTTTACACTGGAGTAGGGTTTTCACGGTGCAACCTGGGCACTCAGGGGAGAGCGGGGACTTCTCCTCTAAGATGCCCTGGACTGGACATGCCGTCATAGGGGAAAAGGCCAGAGGCAGGGCCATGCCGTCACATGCCACTACAGGGCAGGGAGAGGGTATGCGTGTTGCACTTCCCAGGAGAGGGCAGCAGTAGGTGCCTCTCTCTGTCCTTCACACTGGTGATAACTACACACATCTCCAATCAGGGTGTGCATAGTGTCAGAGGCTGGGAATGGATGACAGGGGAGGGATCACGTTGATTCCCTGTTCTGTTCGCTCCTTCTCGGGCATGTGGTATTGGCCACTGTCGGCCGACAGGACACTGGGCGAGACGGAGCTTTGGTCTGACCCAGTCTGGCCGTTCTGATGTTCTTCTTATGTTCTTATATAAAACACGAACGAGACCTTCCGTCAGTGGCAGGCAACCCGCATGAAGCCCGTTGGGATTCTAGGCATTCTGTTGTCCATAGCCTACGTGCAGGGCTGCCAGATTCCATAGGTCTCCAGCCACGTAGGTTTTTCCCACCAGTATTACTGAAGTGGCCCCCACAAGGGCCCGTGAAGTGAGGTGGGCGCTGACTGCACACAACATTGTCAGAGAGAGCCGTGAGCCGCCCTCTGCGTCCAATCCACACGCTGCGACGGTTCAGCCTGCACCCCCCGTACATTCTAGGTACGCAAGCGCAGTGAGTAAAACGACCCCATCCCGGGAGACCGTCTTGGTTACAACAATCTTGCAGCCCCTGGAGACAAAACAGAGCCAGGCATGCAAGCCACACACTAGCTTAGTATCAGGGGGGTATCCATGTTAGTCTGAATCTGCAAAACCGGTGAGGAGTCCTGTGGCACCTTGCAGACTAACCGAAGTGTTGGAGCATAAGCTTTCGTGGGCAAAGACCCAATGCATGCATCTGACAAAGTGGGTCTTTGCCTACGAAAGCTTATGCTCCAACACTTCGGTTAGTCTGTAAGGTGCCACAGGATTAGCTTAGGTTGCCCATCGCTGCCTGAAAGCATCAAAAGCTCCCCCAATAACAGGCAACATAGAGGTGCGATGCTTTTGTTTGCCTCTGTTGTATTTAGCTTGAATAGTAAGGGTATCTCATTTAAAGGGTGACCATATCTCTGACTTACTGCCTATGTCCAAGCACTTACAGTCTCAACCCATAAAGGGTGGGATTGGAAATCGTGGTAGACACATGAAATCGCTTGCCCAAAGTGAAACAGCAGTTTAATGGTAGAACTAGGGTTACAACCCAGTTCTGGGTGTCAGGTGGGTGTCCTATCTACCAGACCACGCCGCCACCGCTGGGGGAGGGCTATTCTGGGTGGAGTGGCTTTTAAATGTGAAATATGAAGGTAATATCTAGTTGCTCTTCAGTAGTGGCAAAGAAAGCACAGAAGAAGCCCCTATAACGTAGTTTGGCTTGAGTAGGAGGCATGAGTTTTAGAAGCTTGCTGGAGTTCTCCTGGGGTCTCATGTTGCTGCATGACCCGAACTACAGGTCACGAGAAGGGCAAAAAGAAAAGGCTACCACACAAGAACTAGATCCTGACTCTCTCCCTGTTCCCCCTCTCTCTTGTCTCTTCCCAGGCTTGTCAGTCCTACAGAAAGTGCTGGACACAGCCGCCGAGAAGAACTGGCAGGTGACGGCGGTCAACATCCTGACGACAACAGAAGAGGGCTACAGGATGCTCTTCCAGGAGCTGGAGAAGCAGAGGGAGCGGCTGGTGGTGGTGGACTGTGAGACGGAGCGGCTGAACGCCATCCTGGGCAAGGTTGTGCTGGCCACTGGCTCCCCGGGAGGGCATTTGTATGAGTTATGAGCCGCCTTGTTTCTCCAGGATAAGTTCTCTTCCTTGTTTCCTCTCTCTGTGCTGCATTGCAGAAGGGCACTTCCGAAGTGAGTGTGAATTGCAGCAGGTTAGGTCCACTACGCTGAGGACCATTTGTCCTTTATTATACAGAGGAAATTGTAGCGCTGGAGGAAACCTAGGGTTTTTGGAGAGCTGCTGAATCAGCAGGGCTGCTCCACAATATTTTTCCTGCAGTGAATTGTCTGACTCCTTTGCATCAGAGATGGTCCCCATCACCCTTCCTCTCCTTATGCTGCCCTGCCGCCCGTTCTCACCCCATCTCCAGACTTTTCCCGCTACGGGTAGGACCTTCCATGCCTCTGCATGGTGCATACAAAACACATGATGTGCCTCGACAGCTGGTGTGTTGTCAACTGCTCAGTGTTGTGTCTCCATTATCTTGTTCTTCCTCACACTGTTGTAGCCACCTGTCATGCTTTCGTGGACTCTTATTTAGACTGTAAGTAACCTGGAGCAAGGGTTGTCTTTTCATTTCCTGGGTGTTCAATGACTAGCATAATCCCCAACCGAGACTCCTAGGTGCTATAGCATCATAAACAATAATAGAGAGAGTACAATTTGCCCCTAAACAAGGTTAGTGCTCATGAGACGGGCCAGATTCACTGTTCTGGAGAGTAAAGTCCTTTCTTTGGCCACAGAACACTTGTAGCGCTTCTTGACATGTCGTAGACCAGTGGTCCCCAACCTTTTGAGGTTGTCGGGCGCCAGGGGGCGTGGCCGTTCACCCGCCGGGCGCCAGGGGGCGGGGACACTTGCGCGCCCGGGGGCGGCGCCCCCCCATAGCCACGTGCCCGGGGCCGTTGCCCCCTCCAAGGGCTGCGCGCC